CAAGTGTAGGATTTCGCAATGGGAACGAGACGCAACTTAAACCCTAAACCTAAACTTAAAATTCAACCTCAGAGCGTCACACGCGCGCACTATATCGTACAAGGACAAAACAACATCGCATGGTTTTTAACTTGCTTATTTTCGCGTGGGGGTGCGTCTTTGGTTTGTCGCCAGCATCAACAGGTCAAAGCTGGCACGTCTGTAATTACCTGTGGAAACACGGCCTGTTACTTTCTCACCATTCCTGAAAAAACGACGCAGAACGGACAAATGGAGCTGGCTGGCTCGACTGACAGGCGCTTGTCGCCGAGTGGAGATCGGGAACGGAATGCAGAACATTAGCTGTAACCACAACAGTAAACACCTCTGGTGTAGAGCCTTCCCCTGTCGGTGGCGTGTGTCCAGACTGTGCCGCAGTGCACAGTAAATCATGCTCAGATTAGTCGCGGATGGCGTGGCGTTCAGTCGGCTTCTTGACCTGCCTTTCGAAGACGCCGACAGTACAGCAAAAGGGACGGTTCGAATGGTGACGGCTCTCACGAGCACGGAAGTCGCGACAGAAGTGCCGACAACATTGGTGACCACGACCACTGCATTTAATCGTCTGTCATAACGACCACATACCAATGGTTGCTTGCTACCTTTGCAAATCCATCCAATTCTCATGCCAAGGTTTTGTGGGGTGACAATGTATTCACTACGAGATGTAGAATGAAAACTCGGAGAGTAATGTTGCCAGTACCAAAACACCTTGGCTTGACACTGATTTTCCTTCACCAAACTGGCCAGCGAGTTGCCCAGTCTGGAAGGGCTGTCATCGTCGGACGTGCGTCATCCGCCGCTGTCACCTGCGGATCGCCTCTGAGGTGACTCCACCCTCCCGTGACGGACGGGCCGTCACTGGCCACCGCGTCACCGCCCGCCGGGGGCCTCGGTCACTTCAGCACGAGCTCTAATGGATTTCACACGCCAGCGTAATCACGACGGAGGATGTTCTTAGACCTGGCTCTGTCCTAATGGTCCGTCCATTTGAGAATCTCGTCGATAATCTGGGAATTGTTCGATAGGCTGAAATCGCCTATTCGGATGAACGCCGCGATGTATTTTGGCCAAGAGAACGCAAGAGATAAACAACCTGCCTAGGTACGAACACGTGAAGCACGGTATAACAGGCAATGGCGGTCGACTCACCAGTCACATTATGGACCGACATTTGGACTGACCTGTGTATGTGCGAGCTATTCTGACGTTCCGGGACGTCAAGCGTACGGTGGATATCAGCTGAAAGTCCATGGTGTGAGTGATGTTCTCGGCTGACTCCCTCAATGAAAGGGGTGGGATATCGGGCGACTTCAGGAAGAAAATTCGTGTTTCCCGCAGTCTCAGTCGCGAGTTGCATACACCAATCTTATAGAACCCTTCCACCACCAGCTGGGATCGGCTGACCTGACCTGAGATGACCCGTTTGACCTCCACCAGACCCAGACGTTTGACCGGGAAACGAACTCCCGGCACATGGATGGGGTAGAAGGCCAACATCTTGCCTGTGATCACCACCGGTCGGGAGCTTGTGTCAGGGAACACCCGACATTTCCTCCTCCGGCCTGCCTGGGTCAGGTCAGGACAGGTCAAACTCGTCACCACCAGGGCCAGCGTTAGCCATCGTGCCGTAGCCATGTCGACGGCCTCAGCTGCTCCGTCCAGTCTGTCGCGTCGATCACAGGCTTGCGAGGGCCATCAAGTGTTCTTGTCGCTCGGACATGCGTTCCGGCCGGAATCTATGCCACCAAAACACAGAGCAAGGCTGCGTAAACACTGCACTGCCGGCTCAACGCTTGAGTGGTCCGGAGGTGCTTGGCTCACCGCTTGTTCCGGTCCGGATCCAACACCACGGTCTCGCACAACAACTCTACTATTGACGTCCGTTTAGATCGCACCACTACATAGGCCGCTACTCGAGAGGCCGGGCACCCCAATGTCGCTGTAGGCAGATGACCTGCCGTAGCCTGGAGCACGTGATCAGCCGAGGCCTGGAGCAGCCGGCGGCAGAGCTGACCCTCGAGAGCGGCGGAGGGCGCCACTGTCACGCTCCACTCTCCGGCGTCGACTGAGCGGCAGGCCATCCCAACCGTACACCCCGCGCCTCATCCGAGCCCGGCGGCTGGGAGAGGACGGCCAGGGGGGGGGGGGGGCTGAAGACGGCGAGACGGTAGAGGGCGGGAGGTGAGTTTGGGAGGGAAGAGGGCGGGAGCTAAGGGAGTTTAAGGGAGGGCGGATGCTGAGGAAGGGAAAGGGAAGAGCGCAGGTGGTGAGGTAAGGGTGGCAAGATTAGAGAGGGCTTAAGCTGAGGACGACGGGAGGAAAGAAGGCGAAAGCCGTAGTCAGGATCGAGGCATTAAGGGAGGATAGAGTACAGGAGCAGCAGATAACAGATGGGCAAAGGTCGGAAACTAAATACGTTACAAGGCCTGCATATAGGGCAGGAACAGCGGGAGGGCAGATAAGCACAGGGTGGCGAGCAGGGAGGAAAGCACGGTAGGAGCAGGGAAATACAACGCAAGAGAGGATGGAGGGAAAGGAAGTGGACACAGCATGAAGCAGAATGGACTGGCAAAAACTTTGCAAAGACGAGCAACAAATATCAGGCAATTGGTTCTGATAAAAAACACCACAAAAGTAAAAGCAGCATTACTAAAAAATATTGACGAAAAAAACCTTATTCATTAATTTACAAACAAAACAGTAAAACACAATTTGCAATATGCAAATTTGCTCACTTCTCTACTGCTTTACATTACTGTTGTACATCATCTAAACATTACATTACTATTATACATCATCTAAACTTTACATCACTGTTTGTGACTGTTGACAGTAACATATGTAGGCCCAATGTATGTCAAAAAGGATTAGCCTGATTTCAGAACACAGGTCGAAAATCAAACGAACTGCACTCTTATCAACCGGTCGTTATCAGTTTGTATACCTATGTGGCTGTTTGTCTGATGTGTACAGATTATCAATCCTCTGACTGCTGCACCTTGTGTTAATTGCAATGTGTCTTGTAGATACATTTCCTGGATCGCTGCCATGCAAGCTGGCTCCCCACATCAAAGGGTGTTGAAAAATCCCGCCACCACATCAAGAATACCTGCTTGACTAAATTAGGCAGGACATTTGTTGGTAACTGAGCCTCAACTATCCTTTGCTTAATACATAATTATCGCTCATGTCCTAAAGCAGTTTGGAGTTCATTTGCTTTCAGGAGCATAAAATGATAGATTCTTGTTTTATGACACTGACAGGATGTAGAATTACACATTAAGTAGAGACCGACACAAAACAATTAATTTTTGCTTAATTCTTTGCTCTTTTTGTTTCAGACTGATCAAAGAACATGACATGGCAGCCAAGACCCGAGTTCGTATGCACAATTTCTTTCCTGATTGTACGCCTTGTATTACATCTGAGGGGCATGTTTAGGAAGTTAAGCCGTTCGTTCATTGTATGCGCGACTTGAATTTTTTCCACTTTTAATTGGAAATGTTATGTCCTAAAAAAAACGTCTGTCAGGTGAGACAAATATAACGGAACACCGCATTGATGTATGACTGGCTAAATGCATCGAAAGGATTTTACTCCAACGAGCGAACAAGCGGGCTGACAAACTGATGAGGTGGGCCTTTAATTTGCATTTAACAACCTTGTCATTGAAACAAAAACTTTCTGCTAAAGTGCACGAATGTGTGTGTCTGAGCCTAAATCCTATTTCTAAATACATATAGTCTGATATGCAACATCGAATACTAAACTAGCATATAGGTCCCATGTATGTATGTATACGCATGTGTGTCACACATGTATGGATATACGCAGATCCATCCATTAAATATGCTGCGAAAAATGTTTGCATTATTGAGCAAAGCTTGTATGTTTATCTCTGAATATGTGAGCAAATGCTGAGGCTGGGTGGACGACTTGTGTGCATATGAAGGTCTCTGTAGCTTACTGCATAAGCTGAATTCTGCATGAAGCTGTATACATGTCATGTGCACATCTGTTTAATTAGAGCGTTAAGTTATACCTCACCCGAAATATGTTCACAAAAAGAGTGCGGTGTTCTTGTTTTTGCTGAGTACGGCAAGAATTATGGCTGAATACAGCCATCCGCCAACCCACGAAAAAGCGGGTCATGCCTGTCACCAAAAAGACAATTTATCCGAACTGCCTTGAAACCCAAGGAATGATGATGTGAGCAAGGATGCTGGAAGACATGCACTGTCTACATGAATGCTCGAATACGTTCACAACCGAAACAATGAGTGAGGGCTGCAGAACAAACATTGCGTTGATGCGTAACCATTATGCGTTAATTGCTACCGCCATATTTACCAGTTCATTATTACGCTATTTCCTTACGCTTCCTTACCTGTGCTCACACAACTGACATCAAATACCCAGTCACTTGTCCTCAGCAGTATCCCACCACCCACTCCTCCCGTCCTGCCACCCTGAGCACCAAACACCCCGTCACTGGTCCTCAGCGTAACAAACCACCACCCCGCTCTCCTCCCGTCCTGCCGCCGGAGCATCCCCGGCCGTCTGTACTGACCGTTGTTCCTCTCGCCGGGGTCTGTCGGCCGGCGGGGCCGTCGGAGATGGTATCGGATGGCGGGACGGGGTGGAGCCCGGCCCAGCCCACCCCACACCCCGCGGGGGAGGGGGCGCAGATCGGCCCGATAGCCGCCACTAATTGGCCTGCCAGGCGGCAGAGTCGCTCACCGACCCGGGGGATGTGGCACTGAAGAGGAGCAAAATCGGGGGGACGGTGCACCGCTGTCCCCAAGGGAAAGGAGGCGGAGGTGTCAGGGAAGAGCAGAGGCAGAGATTAGGAGATGAAAGAAAGACGAGGCAGAAGTGAAACTACGGAGAAATGCTCATATACGCAGACAAAAAGGCAATGACAATAATATACGGTGACTGAACTGTCCGATTGTCAACAAGTGAAAGAAGGTGAAGAGGTCAAGGAAGAACAAAAGCAGAGATTAGGGGTTGATGGAAAGACGAGACAGAAGTGAAACTACCGAGAAATGTTCATCTATGCAGACAAAAAGGCAACGACGGTAATATAAGCCGAATAAACTGTTTACCATTAGAAATAAATGGCATGTTGCATAGAACAGGCTGAAGATTGCATCATTCAAAAGGTGTTCATTTAATAAGGAGCCACTCGATTTTTTTATCAAGCCTAATCTGCTGACACAATGCCATATATATTTCAAGCATTACTACCAACATTTATCTTATCCACATTGCATCTCGTTTTTAAAAACGTGTCTCTGGCTTGTCCCTTCGATGACAATTTAGACCACGTTACCGCAGGGATCGACGAGCAGTATTGTGAATAGCCCTAACACGCACAGCCTGGTATCTTGCGCCTTGGTGTCTGAGCTCCGTGTGTGTGTGCGGCTGCAATCCGTACCTCACGGTGTCAGGTCTTAGAAAAAAACGCATGTTTATTCATTGCTTCTGAGGTTTTAGTGTCTTCTCACCTGCGGTCGCGTATTTTACGACGGTAGTACACAAATAAACATGTCGGCTCTGCTGGCCACACCGCCCGCTTCCAATATGTAGCGTGGTTTTCTCCAGTCTTTACAGCCGCACAGGTCTGGTATCACCATTGGGTCTCAGCTCTCAGCCGTGTTATTTACGGCTGCACGCCTGAACTGTTGGCCTGCCGGGGACAGTGCAGCCGGTAAATACGGCATCCACAGCAGCAGGGTGGAGTCCGAGGGGCGTCGCACAATGCTGGCTGGCGAATAGGCCGCGGGAGCTTATGCGCATTATAGAGATCGCTGGCGGTGATTGCATTCAGGCTGAGGCACGCACCGTCTGGGTGCCATTAACGTGCCACACGAAGCCGAAGGGGCACCTTTACCCGGATCATTCATCCTGCTAACCACCGAAAGTGGCAGGCAACGCGAGCAAAGCAAGGTGACCTCCTCCAACGCGCATCAATAATAACCTGGCCCGTAATTCGGTATCATCGGCGCGTGGCCGGTGGGAGGACACGGTCTTGCATGCCGTGCACGCGCCCCGCACGCGTCTTGCTGACCGCGAAGCGGGTCGGTCGGTCGGCCTGGTGATGCTGCGATTTGATGATGGATGGAGCGCAGACACACACCCGTCCGCAGATGCTCGAGCCTCGTATGGCCCTGACGGCCCGTCCGACGGCGGATCGAGATCTGATGACACCGACCGGCCGTCCCCAGGTCACCAACGACGTCAATGGGTGGTGTGCAGAGCTGTGGTCGGGCCGAGGCTCGCAGATACTATCACTGGCAGCCGCTCCCCGCCGCGGTCAATGGAGAGCCGGTGACCGTCTAATGCCGCCACGGTAAACGGATGGCGTAACAGGAGAACGCACAACTTGTGTGGCACTGGGACTGCACACGGTCTGGTGAAAGCACAGGGATGCCTTTGTTGTCAGTTAACACTGACCTTTCCCCGATACACTTTATAATTTGTTTAATGCAAACCTAACTGCCATCTTATTAATTTCATGCGGGCATGCATAAAAACCAATTCTACTCGAGATGTTCACAAAGATGACGCTCCAGTTCGCTCAAGAGACCACTCCCTGGCTGTGTATTCGCTGCCAGCCGCCTGTTTTGCTTCCGACAGGTCAGTGAGTGATGACTGCTGTCGGACCGGTCCTGTCCTCCGGTCTCAGCGTGTGGTCTGCTCATCTGACGCCCCAAGCACGCAGCTGAACACGGCCCCAGCGGACCTCTCGGAGTGTGCGGTCCGTCCAGGCCGCAGGATCGCCCTATTATAAATGGCCTCCGCCGCTGAGCCTGTCTGTGAACGGTATCGCCTGGTCCCGAGCGGCGGGCCGTGCCGGTGCGGCAGCGCGTCATCACGGCCGCCATCACGCTGATGACGCGGCCCGGATGACTCACCGGTCGGAGGCGGCGAGCTGCAGCCAGCCTGATGAATGTGTGCAGCGCGGCAGACGCGTGAAGGATGTGGCCATATGTCGACTGGTCAGCTAGGTTATGTGACGAGGTTTACCATAGACGTGAGTGATGAGGCCATATGTGGGCTGGTCAGCTGGTTGTGTGGGGAGGTTTACCATGGACGTGAGTGATGAGGTCATATGTGGGCTGGTCAGCTGGTTGTGTGGGGAGGTTTACCATGGACGTGAGAGATGTGGCCATATGTGGACCGGTCAGCCTGGCTGTGGCTTTATGATCAGCAGCATGGGATCTCCCCGCCTCATTCCTTGCGGTAGATAGATCACTTGCACTGAGCCACTCTCCGATTAGCGTTGCGGCAATTGGTCCAGGTCCTTTGATGAACACCAAATACAATACATGTGACGTAAACTTCGAACCGTAAACTTTCTCTATATATGCATACATTTAAGGCATGACCCCAGATTCACACCAAATTCCCAAGCTATTTTGGAAGCATTTATTTGTATTAGAGACCATTTCAAGGGACGCCTTAACCGCAAACACTAATCGCGTTTACATTGATCTGCGAAGTCATAATACACAAGGGCGAACGGGTCCATCTATTTGACGTCCTGATGGACAGCTGACTATCGATGCCGAGAACCAGACTGTACCAGGGATAGTCAGCTGAATGATATGTGATTGCCGTGAGGTACAGAACCCTTCAGCTTTACAAGCAGCTTGTCAAAAACGGCCCACTGATTTCCAAGAAGCACCGCGGAAGAGAAATGAACGGGAAAGGGAACGAATAGATGAATAGCATGTTCCTGTGTGTTCAAACGGACGCGCGCACAAACGGACGGGGAGAGCAAATTCCGTATGTGCACGTGGAGCGATTGTGTCATTGGAAACACGGCGGAGGTATACAGCAAATAAAGGACGGGTGGGCTGTGGGTGGCACTCTATGGGTGCTACAGGTATTTGTGTCAGCGGACACTGTATGAACGTATTTTAGCAACAACCAGTCCCGAAGTCGGGTGCTGGAGTTCTGGTTCAGGTCTGCGTTATTTGGTGACGTGAGAATGGTGTCCCCACAGTCAACGATTTTCATGCTGGGTAGCTCCAGTAGAAAACAGATGACCAGTCCAGCAGAGACCTTTCACTTTTGCACCCCTAACATCTTCCCCGCTGCCATTGGCGCTCCGACAAACGGTGGCATATGCCCTGAAAAGCTCTTTAGCTGACATCGGACTTGTGAAGCAATTCCTCAAAAACTTCATCTTTGGTTGGGGTTTACTTGCACGGCTGCTTTCTTCCAATCCTACATCTGTATTTGGCGCCCAAACGTGCACGCATCATGTTATTATGATGATGTGTTACAATGGCAACCGTCGATGGCAAAATGGAAACCAAACCAACACTATTCATTCTGGCATGCACGCGCATTGGGTATGCTGAGCAAAATGATCAGTCCGTGACCGGCACTGTTTTTTGTGAGGTCATCCCCCATTTTCAGCCCAGGTATATAGCGTTCATTCTTTAGGGCCGGAATAAGGGAGCCCAGAGGCCGTGAACAGTACCAGAACCCGGTATGCGCTGTCCATGGCGATCGTAGGACCCAGCCAGAGCCTGTGAGTACTGAACAACTTCATGGACTCTGCCTCACGGCTGATTTCTGCACGCTCACGTCTTTATTAGTTTAATACTCTATTGCTGATCATAGTTCGGGAACATTGCTATGGAGTCGGTCTTGTGTGATTGTCAGTCCGGGAAAAAAGAATGTTTCAGCGCCTGCGTATTAAGTAAGAGAGATTAAACAGACATATTCCTCAAAGACGTTAGAATAAATCCCAACGGTTAGTGTGGTGGTAAATATGTTCGCATGATTGCTGATCTTTGTCAAATGAGGGTAGTTTGTCTCTTCTGCTTTAATATGCACATGAGGTTGGGTGAAAACGAGGCGTCAACTGTGGACTCCCACTAATCTGCGGTTGCGGAACACCTTACAGGTTGATTAATAGTCGTTTTGTTTTACGACATAGTTACTGAACCCACCATTTATACGCGGGGCATGCCATGAAGAGGGTTACGACCGGTGTTTTAGCTACAATGTTCAAGCTTTGTTCAGTGGTGGCATGCACAGTGGTGGCATCACGATCAGAGTGGGAGTGGGATCAGTTCGTGTTAGTGTTCAGAACTGGGTTTCCAAGTGCATTTTTATGATCTATAACCCTTGGACATAGAGGTGGAATGAAGTGTCATTGAAACACTACAATTTACTGCCTAGACACATTTTCAATGTCCTGAAAAAGTCTCTTCACGCTACACGATAAAAAATTAGCCAACTTTGCGTGCGATTCAACCGAAAGCTTATCGAGGTTTGACAAACACGTGATACAACAGAGCCGCAAACGCCTGGCACAAATGCTATGTCTGGGAGGCCTTTCGATGAACAGCTGGGAACTGTCTGTGTTACCTGGATTGCTTGTGCAATGGTACTCTGTCGAAATAAGATATGCAGTCCATTTGGAAGAAAAACTTTCGCCACAGTGGAACGCATGATACAGTCGCCAAAGCATCCGTCAGCACGTTTATGAGGTCATGCCCGAATGAATTCCAGGACCTATAATCAAGTTAGGCCGACACATTCCAGCAATGATACCCTTCTGTAATAACGGACCGCTGCTGGCCACCGGTGAGAAACTTATGACGCGATGAATGGTGGTTTAAACTGGAATGCGAACCACTTTCGGGCACTGGTCCTAGTAGACGGACATTCTCAAGCACACTATGCTCAACAATTATGACGTTGGAGGTTTGAGCTAAATCTAAAAAAACGGTCGTTTAATGTCAGTGGTCCTTAACTTCGGAAAACGCTGGTGTTTTGGAAGAATGGAGTGCACGAAGCATGCTTATCATGTTCATCTGAGAACATCCAACACAGACCGCGTGTCATTTTCTCACCAACCTGGTATTTGTAGAACCCTCCGCACGTTGCCTTTAGTAATCCTGAAGAAGCCACGAACTTCAAATGGGTTTCGTTGCCCGGTGACGAGAAGGATCCGTCTCGACCCTTTCTTGACCGACGCACCGCACGTTTGTGCTCCGATTCCGTGCACTCGATCAGGGTGTGACGCAATTCCCATCGCCTCGCAGGACGCGCCTCACTCGGAACGTTCCCGTGCCTCGAGCTCGGTTCAGAGCGACGAGCTTGCCCATCACTGCCGTCAGAGGTTCGCCACGGACCTCTGAGCGGCAGGTCAGGTCACCGACCCTGCCCGACCTGCCCGCTCCGGTGACGGCCATCAGGCAGACCAACACACTCACTGTCCACACGCGGGTCATCGTGACGGCGCCTCGTGCCGGCTGAGCTCGGGGCGCCGGGTGGCGGTGCGGGAGGCAGCGCGTCACCCCTACGGAGCGGCGGTCGGCCTCCTACTGCGGGTGTGTGGACTCCACCCAGACGGCCGGTCACCGGCCCGTCGGACCGCCAGCCGCCGGGCCCGGTCGGCCGGCCAAACGACCAATCATCAGTCAACGCTCCGGCGGCATCGGACACGCTGGCTGAACTGCTGCATACGGCTATGCTGTACTGCCGCATACGGCTATGCTATACTGCAGCGAACTTTTCAGCTGACTGCACCCTGTCCAACAAGTCAGCGCACTCAACGTGATGGTCATATGGACGCTAAGCTAAGGACAGATTCTGCGGCTTATACCACTGGACTCACGTTTTACTCAGATATGCGCAACGCACTGGTCACTTTAAAATCGTCATTCCTCTCTGGAGAACGCTGATATGGGATCTGTCTCACTGAAAGTCGGTCCCATCACGTTTGGCTTACGTAATGAATTGTGCCAAAATCCAATCTGTCACTTGTTTTGAGAGTGAAAATTTTTAGCGAGCCAGAAGTTTCTGGGATTATGCATCTAATGGCCGTCAGGCCATTTAAATGATGGGCATGGTCTCGCCACCATTATTACACATGTGCAGGAATACTCATGCAATCAGTTCAGACACAAAGAAGCGAGCAGACGAAAACTATATCCAAAGACGTGGCTAACAACCATGAGTTCTCGACTTCTTGTGCACCTACGTCTTATGCCATTGGATCGTCTCACAAACATGCTCTGGAGCTGAATCAATTTCGAAGCGTGCGATGCTTCTTTGCCGTTCCTCCGGTCAGGGGACTGCAGCGGACGGTGAGGGTAACACGAGACGGCGGCGGCCGACGCAAGCCGCGCACCGCCGCCAAGGATGGATTTAGGCGTGACAGGCACACAATGCCGTCTGCACCGACTGTCCGCAGCCCGGTGCGGCGAATGTGAAATCCTGGTCGGGAGGGCGGGAGCTGGTATGGACCTGTACCGTCGCTGCGACGGAATGCTTAACTTGAACGCACGACGTCTTGAATGGGCTTACCTGATTTTCGCGTGGATGGTACAACACACAAGCCATTTGGTTTGAAACGTACCTGAAACAAGGAAATATACATCATGCATTCGAACAGCGCACCTACCAGATGTACGACAGAAGCAAATCATATAATAGATCCTCAAAGTTGGTACGAGACGGGTCCTTTCAAATTCATGTTGAAGTGGATTACATTAACGAGCAGTTTGCTACGCCGACACATAATCGTACTGCCGCAGCCGTGTTACAGTGTTTTGACGCTGCGGTATCCTTCATTCAGTCTTGGAGGCATTGCCACTAAAATTGGATGGCATTACCAAAAAGTCTTTGACCTTTCATGTAAATTCTGGAGCATGGGATCCAAACGTGTCATGCTTGCTTTTCAGCAGATTAATTGACCACGGAGCGGTTTCTCATCACCTGTATCAGCGCTGTCCTTAGCCTCCTGATCACGAAAACAGCACTAAACCCAGGTTCAATATACGATGCTACAACATATGACATCTATTGATTACTTCGCTTTCTTTTCATGATGTCAGACACAAATTCTTTGAAGCGTTAGTTAAACCTCAAGATCTTAACCAGCTTGCTATTAATCCGCAGATTAACAAACACAATCAAGATCATCTAGGGACAAATCAACTCTGCAGCTTTGTCCATTCCACAGTCACCTGTTGAGTGCTCTCTCCCCTCCTTTACCCGATGACTTGCGGAGCAGGACCCGAACAGCTGTGGTGTAAAGTATAGCACTTACATGGCAGCTGACACCCCACAATTTGTCACCGCATCCAAGGCCTGCCGGGTGCTGAATGATAAACCCCGGCATTCGGTCAGATCAACCCTACGCATATGGAGCCCGCTGAAATTGACGGCATTAATCAGCGACTCTGGACTGAACCACCCAGGTGCCGTAGACCGTCCATGAAGCCGTCCATCGCAGACCATCCCAGTCCGTCCATCGCAGACCATCCCAGTCCGTCCATCACAGACCATCCCAGTCCGTCCGTCGCAGACCATCCCGGTCCGTCCATCGCAGACCATCCCAGTCCGACCATCGCAGACCGGTCTTGGACAGCCGGCGGCACCAGCCCGCCTCGGTCAGCCCGGAGGTGGCCGCCGACCTCAGA